TGAAGCACTAACATACACAGTATGTGTGTATATCTGCGTCTATGGGGATTAGCCACATGCGCTACATGCAGAGTGAAGAGGTGACTGCGACAGACAGTCCAATGTCCAGTACTGTGAGAGCCCAGGGACAATTCGAGCACCACACTGACAGCATGTCTGACGGCTCCCTGTGCTTTGCTTCTGTGACTATCTGGCATGGCAGCCAAACAGTCAGTGACCACATGGTGCGGATCGTTGGCATCTGCCAGAAAGCACGGTAGTGGAACTGGAGGGCTGAGGCCAGACGCATGGAAAATATTTATGCCTCGTCTTTTGTATTATGTCAAGGCAGGAGAGGACAGGTCAAATCTCAGGCAGCAAAGGGAGTCCAGACATACATGGGCAAAACGAATTACAACTTCTAGTTTTTCAAAGTAATTTGGACAAAGTGCTTACTTTTTCACATGGAAAAATGTTGAAACTTAATAAAATGGCATAATACCAGATGAAAATGATGAAAATCTTTAAGACTAACTCAAACTGTATGCCTTCACCGTCTGAAATCAAGATAATCCCGTCTCTCGCCCAGCTGTCGCTGAATAGAGCAGATCTCTCCCCGGCTGTAGACTGTCACCTCTCTGGGCTCCTCCAGTTCCTGTCTTGCACAGCGGGATGTACTGAGTGACGGCACTCAGTTTCCATTGACAGTGACAGTTGTCATTAGCCCAGAGATTCATTTCCATTTGTGCTCGGAGTGCTCAGCAGCGCAGCCACACACTTTGGCCACAAGCGGGTTCACGTACAGTCCGCAGCCTTTCCAGCACTCACTTATTTTAAGTGCTGGAAAGGGTTTTAAATATTCCTGTATCCAAATGATATGGAGAGGCACCAAAATCTAATCAATTCTTCTGTGGCCCATACCCTACCTCTCCAAAAAATGTCATCTAAATCCATTTATTACTTTGAGTTCAGTGACCAACTGAAGAACACTATAACTTTACCTCCCCTGAGGGCAGCTTGGTGCAGTCAATTAGAACAGGTTTAATAATGGTATTTAAAAACAGTGTCAACAGTGGTCCCTTGATGACTACCTGACATGACAAAAGCACTCCAGCAGAGATGATGGTACAGCTCAACAACCAGCCTTGACTATTGCTGATGTGCCATGAATAAGCCACCTTATGATTTTAAAATACCATGTGTGGCCCATTCCAGCCCTCAGAAGACCCAGCTCCATGAAATCTTTGAAGACTACTTTCCTCTGTGACACCCCACCACCACCATCTCGGTTTTCAATCTTTGCTGTTAAACAGTGGTTCAGTGAAATTGCCTGATGGTCATTCTTTTTAAAAAGCAGTAAATGCTGAGGAGCTGAAACAAGGTAATGGTCAACAGGATGAACATATCCCTGACACCCCTGTTAAATATGTTTAACTGATACGAAAGAAAAGCACTAAATAGGAAGGAAAAAGATTTTCTGCACCCCTGGCAGGGGAAGTGACAGCAGGAGACGAGCTCGTTATGCTTCGGCTCTCATTTGGTCCAGGTTTCAGACAGTGGCAGACTGCTAACGGATATATGTGGGCTACATGATCACATTCTCCTGTCCCAGTATGAAAACACGTGGAACTGCTATGCTGCTTTACGAGACTCCAACTTTTATAGGCTATCATGTGCTGAAAAAGACAAATAGTGTGATGTCTGTCAGTTTGAGGGTGATGGTTTTTGATAACATGAAAAAACAAAAGGACATCTGATACAAAAGGCACAATGTGAAACTGACAAGGCACAAAAATGAAAACATGCACCAACAGAAAACATTTAGGATAAGAGACCATCTCAAGAGGCTTGTTAACACAAACGCAACACCAGAAATTATAAAACCTGAGATAATAAGATGACAATCACCAGGGGCCAGCAAACAATCAAGAACCAACAAGTTTTTATTAACAATGTTGGAGAGTGATGTTTGATTTAAAAATACATCTCCATTCAACCTGTTCACATTACCCTCTCCAGAAAAGTGATGAAATTACTCAACAGCAATAAAAGCAGACTAAAATCTAATGGAACTGAGGAGTTTAGTACTGTTCACTATGTATTTGTGAACATGAACCTCAGTCACCCCATGAAGTATCAAATCAAATTGTTTCCACTCCTCACCTTAAGACTGATCAAAGAAATGACCAGTATCTTTAAGATCACACAGCAGATTGAATATAAAAGGCCACAAGTAAGATTCTGTAATGTGCTGTGCCAGCCATTGTTGCTGAGGGTCTCCCTTGTATGTTCAAGCTCATCCCCTGAACATGTGTCCCCTCTGCTTCTTGTGTTGTAATGGTGTGGATGGCTTCTGACAGGTGGGCTCAAACTGTTCTTGGTCTCCTGACTTAATAAACAGGGGGTCTAGGCTGAAACATGTACACAACAGTAAGCTCTGAAAGAATATTGTAAAAGGGACCTGTGTTCCACCAAACTTGCTAGTTGATGGCCAGACTATGTACAGTATGGAGTCACCATGGACTTTGACATCATGGTGTCTTGCTAGTTTTAAAATGTTCCTCCTCTGGACTGTGTCACTCAGTGACACTGATACATGGGGGAAGTGTTCTTGATCTCCTGATGTTAAAAAGTGAAATGTGAATTATAAGACCACCATCTCTGCAAATGATCCTGATTTTCTCAACGTCTGTGGCCAAATGATGTGGAGTCACAATGGATATGCTCAGTCATGACAGAAATCTGAGCCATCCTGTTACTTTTATAACTTTCGTCATTTGGATTATGTCACTCTTCGTCTTATAGCTGCCACCGCTATGAAGGAACTCATTCTTTTCAGCCTTGTAAGAGTCCCGCGTACTCGCCAGGGCTTTTGTAAGAATCTCACTTCCTTTTGTGCAATCTTATTTTTGAATCCAAAAGTGGGTGCCTTTGACTCTAATAAGGCCACTGAGTCACATTCAATATGCAGAATGCACCTCCTGGGATTGGAAGCAAAAACATTAAGCCTACACAGAGAACAGAGCTTCCCTTTGTGTTTGCATCAGTCATAGCCGCTCACAATTATCCAGCTTTGCCAATGGCGACCTTTTGGTTTTGCTTCAAAAGGGAAAAAGCAAAAGGAAAGACATCATATGAGGTGTAATCTTAAAGCAACCCCAGCTGGCATGCTAACAAGGACCAAACTTTTGACTGATACAGGCCTTATTTAGGCCTTTGTGATGTAAGGGGGGAAAGACAACCAAACAAAACACAGCAGGATTAGAGTGGCATTACACTTTGACAAAACAGCTTCTTACATAGCAACAAACATGCACTTTTCATGTCCATCAGTAGCGTGACCTCAGATGCTGCTCATTCATTTCCAAGTTTAATTGCTTCCACAGCTTGTACACTGGTTCTAATCCAGCAAGTCTGGTTTAAGTTTCTTTTCAGTCCAATACAGACTGGAAACATTTCCATGACTATGTAAAGACATTATGTTGATTCTTACATAGCCATTGTTCATAAAAGTCTTCAAAACACTCAAACAGTTACTATATACTATATGTGAAACCACTGCAGGACTGTGCACTGCAACACAGCATCATGTGTGATATATTAAGTGTAACATTAGCTTCTTTCTGTGAGAGACCGTCGAGTTGATTGCCGTGTTTGGGTACAACTGCCCACATCACTGAGTTATGGCTTTGGTTGAAATGGAGTTGCACAACAAGTCGAAGACCAAATCGATTTAGAGAACCTGTGGTTTTAATTATCTTTTTTGATTAAACTATCAGTCATGTAGCATACACAAACTAAATGTCTTCAAGATGGTTCAGAATGCTGCAAGTAGAATTTTAAATAAATCCAGAAAAGTACATCCACATTACATCAGATTTAACACTGGCTCCCTATCCATGTCAGGTCAGACTTTAAGGTGCTTCTAATTACATATAAAAATCCTTAACGGGCATGCCCCTTCATTCCTCTCTGCTCTCAGAATGCAGGGCTCCTGTTTGCTCCCAGAGTTAAAAAGCAGTCTGCAGGCTTCCTATCAGGCTCCCTTCCTCTAGATTAACCTCCCAGCTGATAATCAGACAGTCTGACTCAGTTCAGTTATTTAAATCCAAACTAAAAAGTCATCTCTACACCACAACTTTCAAGTAGCAGCACAGTCTTGATTACTTTTTGCTTCATAGTTGCTACTATTCTCCCACTGGTGGGTTTCAGTCTTAATGAATCTATTAAACTTAGTTATGTACAGCACAGTCCACAATGTCCTGCCAATGGGATTACTGCAGATTTTCTAAAAAAAACAAGTGGATCTCCCTACCCCTCTGTTAGTTCGCCTGAGCACATGAGCATCCAAACTGTGAGACCCACTCACTCTCTTCTCATCCCTGTTTTTCTTTATTCGAATCCAGGGTCAGTGTGTCATATGCTGTATAAACCGTAAAGCCCCTTGAGGCAAATTTGTGACACTGAGCTATACAAAAAAAATAAATAAATAAAATTGACAATGCAATATCAGAGAAAATGAGCCAAGACAATTTACAGCATGGATTTTTAAAATATTTTTGTTGTTGAAATGTGCTCCAAGACTTGTCTTAATGTGGAGAAGTGCTGTCAAAGCCTCCGGTGACCCAGACTCACTGAACAGCACTGGCAGCAGTGCATAGATATTAGCTTGTAAAAGGTTTTGACCGGAACTGACCTCTCTAACCAATCAGACATTTTCAGTTATTTCTGCTCGATCGGTAAGGTTTGTTGCATTCTCATAACAAGAGATATCTGAAGAGCTGGGCAGAGCGTGGCAGATCATAGTAGAGCACAGTGTAGCAGGGAGAGGGAGCGCTGGGTGGTGCAGAGGGGAGTGATTTGGAGTTTCATGCTAGTGCTGCCTTAGGTTACATACTGCAGCTTTAATGTTATAAAACAAAAAAAAGCAATGCCAAATATTATTGCTTGATACGATTAAAGTGTAATTTACTACTGATCAACGAACTTGTTAATCAGCACTAGGTTGAAAGGAGACTCACCAATCTGTTTTCGGTACTGATCAACTGGTAACTGGGTCGCATTGGCATCCTTCTTCCCCATTTTCCCCTCCTCAGCCCTGAGAAGAAAAACAACCTTCAGAGTTTGAGAATTTCACTTCACTTAATCAAATACGGATATAGCTCCAGTCCTGTTACTGTAGCCTAAGATAAGCTGTGAAATCTGCAGGAAGGATTACATTTAATAAAAGATCATAAAGAGAAATGGTAGTCAGTTTTGATCAGGCAGATGGTTTATCTTTCACATACATCTGTTAGACATAATTAAATTAATTCTCACCACCTTCCATGTGTGTTATGTTCACAGTATGCGCACTTCCTATCCATCTCATTTAGTCTAACACCATTTCCCTTCACACTATGAGCTCTCTTTGATTACAGTGACAGTTCACGGGGAAGATAAAAAGAGAAAGAGTTAGGAATAATATAAATAGTAGCCACAGGCTCGTCATGTAGCTATGCAGGTGTGTTGTGTAACAGAATAAATGCCAATCAGTGAGGCTGTGCACTGATGTCAAAGCTGGTGCCTCTATAGATATACGCGCCAGACATAACTATTTCTGTATAATACTTTTCTTTAGTGCTACAACTCAGTATGTGTGTTGTTTTACATCCATCCAACATACTTGTTTCCAAGTGAGCACTCTGCTCTAAATTCCAGACATGCTCATTCACAACACACGGCATCAATCAATAGTGTAGCCTTTTGTTTAAATTAGTGGAAAAAAACAAGTGTGAGACAAGACCTGTGCTTTCTGATGATACTGAAATCGCTGACCTCTTCACTGGTAGAAAGATCTGTGAAAGATTTAAAAACATTTGCAGCCTCCCATATATTTATACAAATAGTATATTGCTAGTATATTGATAATTAGCCATGATATAAAAAGATAATGCAACACAAAAAAAGATGTGTAAGCAGGTGTGCACAGGCGAGAACAGAGAGGTGAATAAGAAAGGAATAAAATATCTACATGCATTGAAGAAGAACAAGAGTGGTGGAGAATCTAGAGATGGAGCAGGGGAATAGAGGAAAGAGACTGCATTAGCATGTTCAAGAAGCGTAGCTGGCTGCCTGTGCTGTCTGTTACCTTCTCATGGGAATCTGCTACAGCCTTGGGAGCCCTGAATTTTACCTTACACTAAAATACTGTTTTCAGCTACATTTCATACACCGTTTGCACAGCTATTGTTCTCCAGCAGTTGGAAACCAGAGTCAGCAAATTAAAGGACGTGAGAGGAGGATAAAAAGAACAGAGGACATTGCTCAAATGCAATGTTTACAGTTTGACGCAGTAGGCTCTTCAAGTTGCCAGCTATTTCGTGCTGTCCAGCAACATCACAATATTATATCTAAATAGTCAAAGCAGCACGTGAAGCATCTCTCACCTCCTGTGGCCATTCCACTCGGAAATTACATATTTTAAATTTGTATTTTGAATCCACAACAGTTTGATATAAAGAGGTAGCAAGGATGTGTGCTGAGCATCGAAAATTATATTTAAGCATAGTGACAGGTGCATTGTTGGTACTGATAACAATAGTTCTCTGTCCATTTTAGCACCTTAAATGGATAGATAACAAAGCCAATTTTACATTCAAGCCATTTAACAGTGTTTATCACAAAACCTACCATAGCACCCTTGACCATGGTGAACTCTGAAGCAATTTAAGGGTGAATTTCCCACCTTGTGCAAGATGAATTAAGTCACAAATGAGTTTTTCTTTTCAGTGCACATTGCCACACAGCTAAGTTTCAGTTCAGGAAGAGAGTTTCTAAAACACGTGCGATAATGCAAAGAGAGAAGAGAAACCAGGTATGAAAAACGGTTCCCCCTCAAGGCTTCATCAGTATGTCAGTCAAGCTGAAACAATTAGTCAGGTATTCAAAAGTCAATTGGAAGAAATATAGGTTTGTTTATTTATTTAGTTATTCAAGCAAAACATCGTTCATTCTCTGGAGCCAATTTTCTTGTTATACAACACTATACACTGAATTTGGTGTTTGAATTATATTTAGGGGGGGAGCAAGATGGGGTCTGGAAACCTGTGCCATGCTTTTTACACATTTTTTACAATAAATCGTTAAAAGATTGACTATGAAAACTGTCAACAAACTAAACTGCTAGTTGCAGCACTAGTACTATGGTGTTGCACAGAATTACACTGAGGTTATTATACTTGACCTTGTTGATAATGATAGGGTGATTAATATACTTGACCTTGTTGATAATGATAGGGTGATTAACACCTCCTACCTATAGACCTTTGTAAAAGTTTCAACAAAAACAGAACACTACAGTTTATAGGAATTATTTTAGGTCAGATCAATTAAGTTCACGGAGTGGTTAGGATTAATCTTGTTTTAGCTAGATAGAGCTAACAAAATGGGTGCATGCACTTCTTTAACAAATCACAGAGTTGTGGGTAATGGTGACCTTTGGAATTTAAGGGTACATCTCTCTGTCAACATTGTGGAAAACTATCTACGTACACGCAACGATTAATAAACTAACGTCACAGTTTAGGTTTTCTGCAGATCAACTACACGCGCATTTGTATAGTTTTCGCCAGTTTACTTCTAAAGAGAAAATCTTTGCAGGAGACATATTAAATTTGCAGCGCGTTTATGGTAACTTTTAAGTAAACTGAGCAAATTCAAATACACAAACAAAAATCTGTATAATACGGCATTCAGCCTCTGAATTCACGAAAATACTTACAGAAATGTTGTTTATCGGGAGAATATACCGCTTAGTAGAGGTGTTTCTGCACTAGGAATTGTATAACAGCTTTATGTGGACACTAGACGACAGGACTGAAGAATTATTTGGTACTTTGATCCAAATTTCTTCTGAATGCCAGCACACCAATTCTACCTGCTCACAGTTCCTGGTTTATACGTCATCATCAATGACGGCCAGCCTGTTCTGCCAATCAGACACGGATATTTCGCTGATGGACCAATAGCACAATATAGGGTGGGACATTCTCGCAAAAAGCTAGACAAGCATGTGAGGAGCTGATAGTTGGGATACTCCCACTAATCTCAACCATATATTATCTCAATACACAAAACCTCCAGGACCTACAGTATCTATTATTTATACCGCTTGAAGTCAGATAAATTAGTAGATGCTGATGTTATGAACCCAGCCCATTTTCGTAAAATTATGATATAATTATGATATGTTGTAAAAATTATAAAATAATTTGGCTATCAAAATATTCTGCTTAAAGTGAGGCACAAAAAAACTGTGGTGAACAGTAACTAAGTAGCCCGTGAGGTTCAGCTGCCCTGACAACTGAAAATGTATTAGTTGGCATATAAATATTTTGCATATAAAATGTTGAAAATATAATGTGTTATAGATTACACTGCCACCACTGTACAGTATAAAGCAGTAGCAGAACCTTTCTCAATCTAAAGCAACCACACGACATGTGTACCTGTAGCCAATTGCTACTAGCGAATTTTATATCACATAGAAAAGAATGAAGATTCACATGTGATGGTGAGATTAGCTATTTGTTTTGACAAACTGTCAAAAACACTGACTACATAGATGAAAAGTGGACAGGTCCTTTAGGGCAGTGGTCCCCAACCCCCGGGCCGCGGACCGGTACCGGTCCGTGGATCAATTGGTACCGGGCCGCACAAGAAATCATTAATTATTTCCGTTTTATTTATTATCTGAGTCTGAACGATCTTTTATTTTGAAAAATGACCGCATTCTCTCGGTTACATCTCGGTCACTTGAGCGCCAAAACTGGCTTACTTGTG